AACCTTCCGATCCAGACAGGAGAGTTCCGTCCACGTACTCTTCTCTTCGGGAATTTCTTCCCGCGATGCCTTACATGGTTCGCTGTAGAAATCTTCCACCTCCCGGAATGAAGTTATTTCTACGGAGTGTCTTGTATGGGTTGCCATTATCAATGGGATTGACTCCTTAGTCTCACGTTTCATACTTATTGAAGGTTTATGGAAACACACTGATTTGTTTCCTGCCGATCGTGCACGGTCGTGAATTCTGCACCTTTGCTGAATCCCCACTTTTCAACGCTGTTGAGCTATGACTGACGTGCAACGGTGTGTAAGTTGAAGGTGACACCCATTTCTTTAATCCCAGGAAAATATAGCATTGGAAGAGAGCTTACAAAGAAACCACTTAGCTCCGTGAGGGAGATACTTTTGCGTTACAGCGATGGGATTTAAATAGTCGGATACTATGTATCAAACAGCCCCGGAAGAGTGTCGGCCACCTAGAAGCGCTTGAGCCGTGGGGCTGCGGTCCCCTTCCGGGTTGGTCCGGGCCCCCCGAGGCACTCTGAGGGGCGCCCCCCAAGCACGGCAGGAAGTCCAGAATCCGATAGAACCGCCTGGTCGTCATCCTCCCGGAGCAGCTGAGCACTTCACCTGAACTGCAACAATTCGGATCTGCAAGATAGGACTCTCCGAGGACATCACGCCCGTGAAGAGCTTCTGTCTCTCGGAGGTACGTCTTCGTGTGCCTGCTTATAACATTAAACACGACATCAAAACTAAGTTATTACATACTCTACGGTAAGGATACGCGAACATATTTAATATATTTTTCATTATTAAAAGCACGGGGGTGACATCGGTTGATGGGATTGTAAGAGCTTCCCGTGTACAGTTCTATCACACGTCATCGGTATGGTTGCTCGTGTGTTCACCACCCCCTTCCACCCTCCACTTCCCCCTTCTCCTCCGGGAACCACCCCACTGGTGTCTCTGTCTGAGGGTTTGCTTGTCTGTCTCGTGTGTTCGTTTGCTGCATGTGTGTTATGTGCTACACATGAGCGAAGTCGTGAGCAGAATACGCTCAAGGTCTGTCCACGTTGTCACCAGGGGCCCATCTCATCCTTCCTTCCGGCTGAGTCGTATTCCCCTGTGGACGTGGTCCACACAGTCCCTGTGTGACAGTGTGATTTGTTCCTGAAACCACACAAAGAGAAAAATAATTCTATTTTTTAACAGGGAAAATGATGTGTGTTCCGTGCCAGCCCAGGATAACCAAACAACGTTCACAGATAGGAAAATAAACCCACCGGACAGCAAGCGTGGGTGCGTGATACACAATTCCAAAGGGAGTCAGGGGTACATAGGACTAAGTGCCACTGACATCGATCGCACAAACATTTCTTCCTCTTTCGGCAGATTTTTTATTTCCCAACCGCCCCTTCGGGTGCCGGCTCCTGGCAGTCGGACACTGTGTGAAGTCACATCGCAGCAAGACCCTCGGGCACGGGAGGGGCCGCGGCCGGGCCTGGGGCGCTCGACCCCTGTGCCTGTGTGGAGGGGCCGCCCTCGTGCTCCAGGGCGCGTCCCCAGAGCAGACCCCAGGTCCACACACACGGGCCAGGCCTCAGACTTGCGGGGTCCTCGCCCCGATGCTGTGCCGACAGCATGATGCTCTTCTCCCGATGTGTTTGGTGCCTTCGGGGTGGAAAGTGATTCCACGGGAGACGCGATGTCTGAAAAGTGGTGAGTGTCCAGGCGTCATTATGGCTGAGACGTGACGTGGTCGCCCAGTGGGGCAGCCTGAGATCACAGGCCCCGCCACGGGCCCTGGGACCTGAGGACCACGGGGCGCCAGGTCGGCAGCACTGCCCAGGGCGTCCCCACGGCTGCTCCCGGGTGCACTCGCTCTGCTCTCCGAGCCTCGGGCTCTCTGCCAAGTGGCTCCCTGGGAGCAGGGCCGGCCGGGGCCTGGCGGGGGCTGTCCCAGGGCGTCCCAGCTGTCTCCTCCTCCTGCCTGGAGCCCAGAGCCCTGGTTCCCGTGAGTCTGCATACGGGTCTTTCCGTCCTCAGCAGAAGCCCACTCTGCAGGCATTCGCATCCCTGCTCTGCGGGTCGGTCACTTGAGCAGAGCCATGGAGCTGTCATGTGGTGGCTGTCCCTCCAGGCTACTCTGCTCCTGCGGCCAGAACACGGCTCCGTGACCTCAGACCAACTACGGGAACCTATGTGAGATGTTGAGATGCAGACACCCAGGGAGGGACCCCTCCCCCTGCCAGGAGTCAGGCTACGGGAGTCCCTCCCGGGCACAGGCCCCTCTGGACCCGTGAGGATGGTGGTCTCATGTGTCATCACCAGCTCCTGGGCCTCACAGTGTGGGCGCCCTAAAGACGAGCTGGCTTGTGCACCCCGGGGCTTTCGGAGGCCCGCCGTCTCGGCCTGCCGTGGCCTGTGGCTGTGTGGCCTCACACGCCAGGGACACCTCAGCACCCGGCCCAGTGACAGGCGCTGGACTCGGGATGTGTTCCGAGGCGGCCGGGCCCAGCAGGCTTCCAGAAAGTGGGGCGTGTCCGTGACTGACAAACACGCCTGAATGTGTGGGAAGCACCTGCTTCCGTGCCTGACGCCCGAGCACCACGATCAAACGTGACGTGTTTTCTGTGTCACGAGCAAAGTGGACATGAGGCCCTTTCCGTTGGCTGCCTTGGGTGCCCGATCCCTGCCCTCACCGTGTCTCTGAAACCCTCAGGCGTCTTGCTTCCGTGAGTGAGAGGAGGTCTGGCTTCTCCTCCACGTGCACGTCCAGAGGCAGGTCAGCGCCAGGCCCCGGCGCCTCAGACGCCTCCCTGGCCCCTGCCTCCGCTCTGACTCCCCGCTGGGCCCGGCCAACATGGCCTGTGTCCGCCCCTCCCCCAGCAGCGCTCTCTCCTGTTCCCAGGCCCCGGCGCCGTCACCCGGGGGAGACCCGGCCTGGGTGTGGTCGCTGTCTGCTCCCCAGACCGAGCCGGGGTTCACGCCATGTCGCAGTCCCACGTGGTCCTCCCTGTGGCCTCTGCCCTCGCACCTCCGGCGGGAACGGGAACGGGAACAAGTCAGGGGTGCAGGGGGCTGACCAGAGGGCCCAGTGCTGCTGCGAACCCCTGAATCTCGTCGGGGACTCTGGCTAAAACCCAGTGTAGTTCTGTTCTTGGAGGTGGGAGCTCCCGCCCCGAGGACCCAGAGCACCCCCCGACCCGAGAGCGGACGGGGCACCGCGCCCCGATGGGCCTGTTCACGGCACGGGAGGCAAAGTGGCGAATCTCCCGTTGGGGTGTCTCCCTTCCCCCCAGTGGAAACTTTTTTTTAAAAAAAGGGAGAGAGATTCATTGATAGAAAACCTTTTTACAATTTATTTTCTGTTATTAATCTTTAAAGTATAAAAAGGAGGCTCTAGCTAAATGCAGGGGCTCCGTGGTGAAATGTCAACCATGTGAACAAATAAATAAGTATTTACATTCTTTGCCAAAACAAACGATGTTTCATCATCTGTACGAGAAGTTCGTTCAGAAAACATAAATAATTTACAAGAAAATATGGTACATTCTAGATATTCACATCACCATCCCACCCGTGTCCCTCGCCACCCCCCACCCAGCCGCCGGTCCTGTCGTCTCGGGAATAGAAGCCACAGAAGATCAACCTCAAAGACAGCAGCAAACTAACTGTGTCGAATGACACGTGAGCGCGGAGGCAGACGCCACGGATTCTCTCGATTGGACTTGGAAACGAAATCCCTCCTAACAGAGACGAAAGCCTTTCCCCGCCGGACCAGACACCCGCCTGTGATTAAGCCTGCGGGCGGATCAAGCAGTTAGAGCAGAAATAAGCCTGCGTGGCCGGGGGCAGCCGGCGGCTCGAACCCTCACACGGCCGCCGAGAGCAGGAGGAGAAGTGGAATGAACGTCACCGGCAACCGCACATACTGAGGCCCACTGCAGACTCTCGTCACTGTTTATTGATGCCACACATTACAGCGCACTTCATCTGACAACGTTAAGTACAAAGCTCGTGTTCGGCAGGAAGCTGCTTTGCTGCCACCTGCTGTGACACACCCGCTCGGCGTTTCTTCTAGAAACGGGGCAGCTGTGTCCCTCGGCAGACGTGAAATAAGTTACTGTGGACTGGAGCTCACTCGATAGCCTTTCAATAAATATTCACACAACACTTACAACGGGAGCCTCAATGAAATGCGTCACCCAATCCCGCGCAAGCGACTTTTCCGTGAATTCGAAGCCTAGGCTGGGAGCTGGGGGCCACGGGCGCCGGCCGTCTCTGCTCGTCGGAGGAGCGCGAGGCAGCGCTGGGATCGGGAGCCGAGCCGGTGACAGCGGCTGCGCTCTCCCGGGCCCCAGCAGCACAAGGGCCAGCACCGCACGCTGCCCCTGTCACACGGGCCAGGTCTCGCCAGGCCCACGGCTGACCCACGTCCGACCTCGGAGCAGGCAGGTCCCTCTGTCTCTGCCGAGTGACAGGGCTTTGCTCCTAGACGGGATGGGGGAGGGGAACCCTAACTCTCAGAATCATTGTTAATGTTCCCTCTAGGGACCTGCCAGCTGCCTTGTGCGACCGTCACCGCCGGCCTCACCCAGGACGGCCTCACTGCAGACCCGAGTCCAGCCTTCTCCCTAAGGACCTGACCTGACCCGTGACCTCAGATCCGCGCGAAGCAAGAGCAGCAGCCCCTGAGCCACCTGCAGCGACCGCCTGCCGCAGGGACAGCGTCTCACACCATGTCCCCTCCACTCCACACACAGAAACACAAGTAGTCGCTCTGGTAGGTAAATGCCAAGCTTTTTAAGCGAACAAGAAGACACAGCGTCATGGCGGTGGGCACTGCGCAGGCTCGTGCCGGCTGGACGTCCCTCTCTGGGTCCTGCGAGGGCACCTGGGCTTGGGGTTGGCGGCAGGAGGCGAAGAAAGGCTGGGGGTCAAGGTCAAGGACAGAAGACACTGCGAGGGGGGGAAGCCGGAAGATCCAGGGTGGACGGTGGTGTCTGGGCAACAGCATCTACGTGGGGAAACGCAGCCAGTCTGGGTCACGCATCTGCAGGAACGAGAGACAGTGAGGGTGGCGGGCTGTCGTCCGCTCTAGGTTGTTCTGCCGATGACCTAAAGCATCGTTATTTCCACAGAAACGGACACCCACAGTAGGCTGGACGGACGCGCGGGGCAGCCGTGCAGGGAGGGAGGAGGAACAGACATCTGGAAAGATACCACGCCCAGGGCGAGGCGAGGTCAGCAGGTGCGAGAGGTGAGCCGACGTCCTGAGTTCCCTCCTCTCTGCTCGAGGTCTGGTGTCCCATGTGGTTTGGAGAAGCGTGTCTGAGCCTCCCTCCCCCTTCCCCCTCCCCCCTTCCCCCCTCCCTCTCCCTCACTCTCCCGAGAGCCAGGATCCAAGCCGGTAGGCCCCGCAGGTGTGGACAGCAGGGCCCCTGGGGGACGGTGGGTCTGTGAGTGGCGGCAAAGCCTGTGCCCTCCCCAAGGCTCCACATTCAATTTCAAACCAACAAACATCGGAGCAACTGCAGCCCCAGCGTGTCGGTGTCGGTCCCCAGCGCAGCCTCTGCCAGAGGACAGGGCCCCACCCACTCAGCGGGCTTGTCCTCACCCACCTCTGCACTCGTACTTGAGATCCGAGAAATAGACCATTTCTTGAGAGAAGACGAACAGGCCCAGCCGCCCGCCCGCGTAGGTCTGGTCGTAAATGGGTCCCGAGTCTGCCATGACCTGTTTGCCTTCGTGTACCAGGACTCTGGGCAGAAGGAGCAGGGGGAGGTGAGCTGGGAGGCGGCTCCGCAGGGGGCGGTCGGCCCTCCCCCTCCCGGGCAGCAGTGACCCTCCTCGCCCCTCCTGTGCTCCCTGTGGCCACGTCAGCCAGCCGTCCCTCCCAGTCCCCCCGAGCCGAGCCCTCCTCCAGCCTGGACGCCCGTTCTCTCCGCCATGTCATCCACCCTCGGCCGTCACAGGCATTTCAGCCACATGCTCCCGCTCCGTCCACACTAACTGTGAGCTGCTGTCTGGACGCCAGGACAGCCCCTCCCCCCCCACCCCGAGCACAGGACGGGGCTGGGACCCTGGGCTCCGACGAGGGGGGAGCGGGGAGAGAGCGAGACGCCAGGAAACCGGGGGCCCGGCACCCCAGCTGCACCTGCTCAGGTCTGCTCCCCATTCCTACTCTGCGTCTGTGGGGACCCTGGCTGCGGGGTGCACTTTTAAATGAGCTTCACTCGCAAGAACGCAAATTTCAACCATCGAGTGTGATTGTCTCCGGACCCCTCGCCAATGCCGTCTCGACACCAGAACGACATTCTGGGGCCTGCTGCTCGCCACCGGGTTTCCGTCGAGCGTTCACGGACCAGAACTCGCCCGACAGAACACCTGCCTCCCGGAGCTGCTCACCTGATGTAGCCCGTCTTCGGCCTGTGGGTCAGGTGCCACCTGTAGGCAGTGTAGTCTTTCCAGCCAATATTTTTGGGGTCGTGCCACAAGGTCCGAACCTGAGGGAACACCACTGGTGAGCACAGGCAGCACTGAGCCCCAAGCAGGAGTAGGGACCAGGACGCTCCTTGGCAGACTCGTCCCTGCGACTCCGCTCCTGACATGAGACCCTCGTGTGGACAAGAACCTGCCGAAGGTGAGCCAGGACGGTCAGCGCAGAGACAGGCCCTGAGCCGGACTCACAGGGCCAGACTCTGGGTCCTGTCGTCCCGGCTGGGCCTCGGGAGCCAGGCCCACACACTGTGGATGCCTCTCCGTGTCCCGCAGGGACAGTGTGTCTCATCTGGGAGAGGATCACAGTGACATTTATAAAGGGCCAGGCACAGGGTCTGTAACCAGGGAGAGGCTCGATGAAGGATGGTTAAAATGGACAAATACGGAAGTGGGGTGTCTTCAGCGGGGCTGGACTGCCCCCCAAAGCCCTACAGAGCGGTGCCAACGTCACTCCCGGCTGACCTGCCCCGCCGTGTTCCCGGTGTGCCACAGGGCGTTCCTCAGGTGCTCGCCGGTGCCCGTGCTGGAGTTGACCACCTTGAGCGACACCCCCGAGTAGCCGTAGGCGCGGGTGGGCTGGTCTTCCCAGTAGGTCTGGGTCACCTGCTTCCACATCACCACGTAGAAGCGGCTGCTGGACTGGTAGCCGAAGACGAAGCCGGCGTAGTCGTCGTCCCTGTCCGTGTTGACGTAGAAGGTGCCGCTGAAGTCCACGGACCCGAACTCGTCGAAACCTGGGTGCCGGGGGGAGAGAGCCGCGCAAGGAAGTCAGAGCAGCCGGGTCTGCTTTGCATTTTCTCTTCAGAGAAAGAGGAAGGGAGACAGAGAGAGGAGAGACGTCGGTGGGAGGGGGAAACTGATCGCTGAGACCAAACCCACAACCCGGGCATCGAATGGACAACTTTGGGTGCACAGGACCACATTCAACCAGCTGAGCCTCAGGGCGTGGGAGAGGCCGCCTGCACCCCGCATGGCGCTCTCCCTGAGCTCGGCCCTGTCGCCCGAACGCTAACAGCATGTGTGTGAACACCTCTCAGATCCGACTGCAGGGCACGGAGGGGCTGCCCTGGACTGTGATGGTTGTGCCCAAGTTCATACAATAACAGGGCCCATGGCTTCCTGAGAATGAATCTCAGAGACTCTGAAGAGGCCACATGTACTGATTGGAGGCTCCACAGACTGTGGAGGGGCGGGGCCGCCAGAGGGACCCACTGATCTGTCCCCGCGGGTTTAAAGAGCACCTGGCCCCGGACCGAGGCTGCCGGGTGGACTGGGAGGCTCACCCACAGCGATGCCCGGGTCGGAGTTGGCTGTCTGCACCAGCTCCTTGCCCTGGTGCCGGATGACCCAGTTGGGGTCAATCTGGGTGGTGCCCTTGGGGTCCAAGTGCACCATCTGGAAGTTCCTGAAGTCAGTCTCGCTGATGGCGTTGTTCTCAGGACACACGTCGTCAATGTCCGGGACGCTGTCATTGTCAAAGTCGTCCTTACAAGCATCTCCCCGCCCATCACCTGTCACCGAGGACAAGCAGAGACATGGGAGCAGGACACGCTGGCCACTCGCCCTCCTGGGCCCAGGAGACACAGCAAGGACTCCGGGTGGGCACCTGGTGGTGCCTCGTGGGTGCGCACGCATCACCCTCTCTGCGCTGGACGCCCTGAGGTGCCCGGACACTCCCAGCATCACAGCCATAAGCCTGCGACCCCGCCCGCCACACCTGCCTCACCTGCCTCACCTGCCCTGTCACCATCCTGAGGGACCCGGGTCACCACCCGCCCTCACCCAGCTCTGAGCCAAGACGGGGCAACCTGAGGGGCTGGCAAGTAGTCAACTGAACTAGCAGCATTCCTGTTGCTGTAAATATTGTCCGGACCGTCTTTCAGCCCCTCTCACGTCCTGTGCTCACCGGGCACTGGAGCGGCACCTACGTCTTGCCCTGAACACGACTTTCCGGGGAGAGATGGGCTCCCTTTTTTAAAAGGTTCTTGTCAAATTTTCCAGTGAGGTAAGGGGGGGGTCGGGGCCACAGCCCCTGGTGTGTGAGGTTATAGGGGGTGGGCCCCCCGGAGCCCAGGGTCTGGTGATAATGACCCGCAAGCAGGTCAGTTGCTAAGCTGGCCTTTGCTTCAGGAGACACCACGTCCCCAGCAAGTCCTGCAGCCTCCTCTCCTGCTGTTCAACCATCAGCACACACCTCCCTCCTGCCACATGGCTGCTCGCGCCCACGCACGAGGAAACGTAGACCACTCAGAGCCTCCCGTGCCGCCAGCCCCTCCGCCACCCGCCGAGCCGCAAGCCTGCCGAGCCGAGCGGCTGTGGGGGCCGAACGTGTGCTCCCTGCTGAACCCCCTGCGGCTCTCGGGAGGGTCCCCGGGCTGCGCCCAGGTCAGAGTCCCGCCTCAGCCAGTCTGTCATTTCCAGACATGACCGAGGGCTCCGACCTTCCCAGGGGCTGGGCCTTCGTGCGCCCCTCGCCCCAGGCCGCACACCTACCGTCGGAGTCCTCCTGGTCGGGGTTGGAGACCAGCCGGCAGTTGTCCCTGTCGTCAGGCACCCCGTCATTGTCGTCGTCCGAGTCGCAGGCGTCGCCCCTGCCGTCGCCGTCATGGTCGGCCTGGTTGGCGTTGGAGATGTAGGGGCAGTTGTCCTGGTTGTTCTGATGGCCGTCCTCGTCGATGTCCTCGTTGTTGTCACACTGGTCTCCCACGAGGTCATTGTCCACGTCGGTCTGGGGGACAGAGCACAGGGAGCGGCCTGAGCATCTGTCCAGTGAGCTGGACGCAGACCAGGCCTCGGGTGGGCGTGCAGGCTGGACACCCTCGTCCCGCACGTGAGCGGCTGGTCTGTGGACGGCAGTGGCTTCCCGAGGCCACCGTGTCTCCGCACAGCCGGCTGGAGCCCAGGCACCTGTTCCTCTATGGGCCCTTCACTTAGGCAAGATGGAAAAAACTCTGCAGAACTGAGTCCCTTTTGGACACCGTCTGCCTCGGTATACACGGTGGGCAGCCGGCAGCAGCGATTCACAAACGTGTGCAAACAAACCGCTTCGCGTGCTCAGGTCTGCACGCCTGCCGCTGCCCAGCCTCCTCCCAGGAACCAGAGCAACGTCCGTGTTCTCCTGGGGCCTCCAAGTCACCCTGGGAGGGAGCCCAGTCCTCCGACAGCCAGAGGCGGAGACAGCCGGCGGGACACCAGGGCCCGGAGAAGCCGCTGCGGTCGGGCCCTGGGCAGAGATGCCAGGGTCCCACCTGGAGCTCAGCTCGGTGTTCTCAATGAAAAGGACTGAGGGGCCCACGTGGCCACGTCCTGGCAGAGCTGATGGAAGCCCGAGAGCCCGGGCCTCCCGCGCACCCCCCGCCGGCTGCCCACCTGATCAGGGTTGTGCACGAGGGGGCAGTTGTCACAGTGGTCGCCCACGCCGTCGCCGTCCGTGTCTCTCTGGTCGGTGTTGTAGACGTAGGGACAATTGTCCCGCTCATTGAAGACATCTGCAGGGGTTCAGGGGAGCGGGGCTGCTGAGCTCAGCAAGGGCACAACTCCCCACCGCACTGCAGGCTCACAGCCCAGCGTCAGTCAGCAACGCAGCCCAGGGACGAAGTCGTGGAGGCATTAGCTCCGTGGAAGAGCACACGTGACCTTTCCCATTAACATTCACACGTCCTCCGGCCTTTTGTTTGTCCTCACCCAAGGACACTTCTCCATTTTTGATCAGACAGAGAGGGAGGAAGAGAGAGAGAGAGACATCGACGCGAAAGGGACACATCGAGTGGCTGCCACCCACACGACCAACCAGGGCGGGGGACGAACCACAACCAAAGCACAAGCCCTTGGCCAGAATCAAACCCGCGGCTCCTTGGTCCGCGGGCCGGCGCTCTAACCGCTGAGCCAAACGGGCCAGGGCTCAAGCGCCGTCCCTTTGAAAGAGAGCCGGCTCTGAGTGTCCCGACGCGGTCACCCACCGGGTCAGCCTCTGCAGCAGTTTCCCCGGATACCCGCTCAGAAAAGGGGCCCCGAGCAGCTGCCCAGCCCCATCGCCCATCGTCCTCCCCTGCGTTACTGGGACGGGACGGCGGCAGAGGGACGGGGCTTTCAGGAGGGTCACCGACCCCGTCGAGACAGGAGTTAGGGAAAGATGGGTGGATTGTGGACCATCCAACACGCCACCGGGACCAGGCAGCCCACATCCCAAACCGGGAGTCACAGGAAGAGAGCGAGACCGTCCTGGGGTCCGAGGAGCAGGAGGGTCGGCCCGGCTCCAGAGGAGGCGGAGGGGCCCTGGAGCCCGGAGAGCAGCAGGCAGACGCTGCCTGGCGCCGGGGAAGCTCTTGGCGCCACGCCAGTGACACCAGGAAACACAGGGGCCCCAAGGCCCCGCAGGAGGCTGTGTGCCCAGTGAGGGCTGGTCCCCGGGGCACCAGGACCTGGGATTCAAGGCCCGCGTCGAGGTGTCGGACATTCCCACCCATGGGGACCTGGGACCTGGGGGAGCTCTGTAACTCAAGATTCACAGAATGGAGAGAAACAAGGCCTTGGACGCGTCCCCAGAGAGGGGCGAACGGGCAGACCCCCAGGCAGGCCGGTGAGGAGAGACGTGTCCCTGGGAGCACTGGACCGTGCATCGTAGCACACGCCCGACGGGCGCCAGGTCCAGTCAGAGGACAGCCGTGCGGGCTGCAGTGTCCTAGGGAGCTCCTGAGGCTGGCGACCCCTTCCAAGCCCCACCCCACGGGGTCAGACGGGCAGACCGAGGACGGGCCCCCGAGAACAGCTGAGAACCCCGAAGATCGAGGAGCCGCAGGCGGAGTGAGCGCAGCCCACAGCCACGGAGCACACGGCCGCAAAGGCGCCAGCTGGGCCTCGGCCGCGCCCGTGAGAACGAGCAGACTGACCGTCCCCGTCGATGTCCACGGAGCAGGCGTCGCCCTCGCCGTTGTGGTCGGTGTCGATCTGGGCGGGGTTGTGCACGTAGGGGCAGTTGTCGCAGCGGTCGCCCACCTCGTCCTTGTCGTAGTCGGACTGGCGGGGGTTGAAGAGGAGCTGGCAGTTGTCCTAGGGGGCGGGAGGGGGAGGGGGAGGCAGCTCAGGAGCCTCGCCGGGCCCTGCGGCTCGGCGCGCGGCGCACACTCCACGCCGCCCGAGATGGCGGCAGAGCCCGGCGGCAGGGCCGGTGAGCCCTGCACATCCCGACACGCCGTGGACCACACACTGCGCGGTGGGGACGGTGAGTGAGGAAGGCGGGAGTGATCGGGTGGTCGGACGGCAGCAGCGCTGCGCACAGGTGCAGGTGGTCTACCTGCTGCCCTGGGTTCGGCACTGAGCTGGGACCCTCCAGGGTCCCCCCCGCCCCCGTTTCGCAGGAGAGGCAGCGCTGGTTCAGCGAGAGCCCCGCGCACACGGGACCCGCCAGTGGAGGCTCCAGTCAGCAGCTCACACTGTCACAATGTTTCTAGCGGCAGCTCTGTGCTCCCTCCGTCACGGTTCTGTAGCGAAGGACCCGCGCTCTCTGCGGGTGGCTTTCGGACAGTGGGCAGGGACACCCATCTCATCTCAGTGTGCCCCCCGCCCCGGAGCCCGAGCAGGGGCCCGGACAGCACCGCCCTCTGACCTTCTCGTCACTGACGCCGTCGTTGTCGTCGTCCTCATCACAGGCGTCGCCGATGCCGTCCTTGTCGAAGTCTTCTTGCCCAGAGTTAGGCAGGAAGGGGCAGTTGTCCTGTGAGCAGAGCATCCCAGTGAGAGACACCCGGGACCCTCTGTCCGGGTGGCAGGCCGGTAAGGCCGGGGGGACGGGGCAGAGAGGCCGGAGCCACACATCTGTCCCCACGAGACGCAGAGGAGCGAGACCGCCCAGCGCGGCCGGGGCACCTGCTTCCTTTTGAGGCTGCCCCTGGACACCGCGTCGCCACGGCCCTGGACACCGCGTCGCCACGGCCCTGGACACCGCGTCGCCACGGCCCTGGACACCGCGTCGCCACGGCCCTGGACACCGCGTCACCACGGCCCTGGACACCGCGTCACCACGGCCCTGGACACCGCGTCACCACGGCCCTGGACACCGTGTCACCACGGCCCGGGGTCGGGACACAGGTGGGTGTCCTGAGCCCAGGACCCTGGGAAGCTGCCAGGCTCCCGATGAGGGGACAGAGCTCCAGTGTCCCCTCTCCTTGCCGTGACCTTCGGCTTATCTGCCAGGAAGCCCAAGCTCCTACAGCTTCCCCTCAGAGCCGGGACCACGCGGTGACCTGCTGGGAGCCTCACCCCCAGACCCCGGCCCGGGCTCAGCTCTTCCGGGAACAGACAGCTTGTGTCCAAGTCGCAGTTCAGGTTTTATAAATGTTATGAATCCAAACGGAGCCATGTGGACACTGACAACGTGTGGGAACCGGAGAAACCTGGAGAGGGCGGATGCACCACCCACGGTCCGAGAGTCAGCACCGGCCCACGAGGAGAAAGAGAACGTTCCGGGGGCCCGGGGCACCCCTGAAGCAGATACACAGGAGCCTCTCGGACCAGGTGCGGGTTCCCATCAACAGTCTCATTCTGCACCTGCTCACACGTAGTGTGTCTGTAGCTGGGAACCCCGATGTGCCATTTTTAAGGGGCTAAATACCTGTCTGAAATTCCACAATGTAACAAAGTGGGGTGCCCTACGGCAGTCTTGGCTCGGGGACACCATCTGTCACCCCTGCCCTGACGCCTGGGGTGTGGCTGACGCTAACGGAAGCCCCACCAATAGTCACGGCCACAAGCTCCTGTCCTCAGACCGCCAGGCTCCACCCCGCGAGCCAGGGACCGAGCAGGCAGGTGGCCGGGGAGACGGGACACGCCTGCCACCTCGGAGCACGAACACTGTCCTGTCAACACCGCCATCCTTAACGAGGACAGACCGGAAGGGACACGTCCGTTAGAACTGACTACCCAACAGGCACGAGAAGGAACGCACGTAAATGTTACGCAGCTGAATACACTTATAATCGCAAACGATGTTTTTGTAAGTTTGTGTCGTTCGCGTTTCTGAAGCTGTGAAGACACCGCACCGCACTGACACCTTTGGGACACGCGGTCCAGTGGACCGAGTCTGGTTCCCAGAACGTGGGCCCAGTCCGATCTCTGCACAGCGAATGAGCGGGCATCCCCTTCCGCACAGGACATGCCTTGGGTTCTGGGTCTCCGAGGAAGTTTCCGGAGCACCCAGGTGGCCCTAACCAACCACGTCCATCCTGACGCCCTTGCCAGAGCGAGTCGGGGGGTTGGGGACGAACTCACAGGGGAGAAGGCTCGAGGAAGCGGAAGCAGAGGTTGGAGGGTCACCTCAGAACTGAGCAAATCCTGGGGCCAAGTGTCCCCGACGACACCATGGCTTCCGACCCCCAGCCCTGGGCTGAGAGTTAAGTTTCTGCTGTTCTCGGCCACCCCGTCCGTGCCCACTGGCTCCAGCCGCCCCAGGAAAGGGACGCCGCACCTGTTACAGACCCTGAGGAAGCTCGCTCCTCGGTGCTGGAGGGCGCCCTCACCTTGACGCAATGGTAGGTGGCGTTGGTGGCACAGACCAGGTTCTTGTTGGGCCAGCCATCCAGGTCCGAGTCCTCGCCGCAGATGAACCCGTCGCCCGCGTAGCCCGTCTGGCACTCGCACTTGTACATGGGGTCGCTGAAGTGGCCCAGGTAGACGCACTCGGCGTGCCGGTGGCACCTGTGGGTCTTGTCCTTGCAGGGGTTCTCAGGCTCACACACCTGGGGGGGGCGCACAGGTGAGGGCGGCCGAGACCCTGGCCTGACCGGGGGCCTCCCAGGGAATGCCCCACGGCAGCCACTGAACAAGCATCCAGACACTAGACTCTGCTCCCCTGGAGCGACCAAGGCAGATCCCCGGCTCCACTGAGCGCTGCCCACAGGCGTCGGCCACAGGTGCCGTGTGGAGCTGCTGATTCACCAGCGGCTGAGTCCTGGTCCTCACGGGTCCGGTGTGTGACAGCTGCGCTCTGCACCCCACCTGGTGGGCTCCCAGAGGCAAACAGCGGGCCCCACAGCCCCCGGACCCCAGAGCAGGTGCACCCTGCCTTCGCTCCCCGCAACACAGCCCGTCCTCTCTCCCGCCCGACTTCCCCAGATGTCGGCTGGTGTCCGAGGCCCACGCCGCTCACCTGCTTGTCTGTCTGGGCCGCCTCCAGGCCGGCCCCGAAGGGCTGGGTCCCTCTGTAGCGAGGGGGACAGGGCAGGCAGTGGAACCCAGGGTCGGTGTTGACGCAGCGGCTGGACTTGCTGGTTGTGGAGAAGCAGACGTCTGCGACCAGGGCGCACTGCGGGACAGACAGACGTGAGCCTGCTGCCGCCCCGCAGCCGCCCTGCAGCCGCCCGCCCAGGCCGGCACCCACCTCGTCCAGGTCCTCGCAGTGGGTCCCGTTGCCCAGGAAGCCCAGCGGGCAGGAGCCGCAGGACCAGGAGCCGTCGGGGAAGCTGTTGCACTGGGCTCCCGGGAAGCAGGGGCTGGACAAGCAGCCGTCTGCATGGGGAGCGGAGAGGTCAGGGTGGCCCAGGCAGCTCCCCGGCTCAGGACAGACGCTCCGAGCCCCAGAGGTGCCAGGGTCATGGTCAGACACTGTGGTCAGTGAATGAGGACGGAGCACACACCAGAGGTCTGCACCCCGGGGAGCACTCCGAGGCTGGGGGGCCTGTGTGTGACTCCCCGAGGTGCCCCAGGGTCCGTCCTGGCCACACTGCTGCTACACAGAAGCGTGGAGGAACCGAACCCCGACACCCAGAGCGGCCACCCTTCTGTGCTGACCACAGATCTTCCTGTTCTGCGTGTCCTCCCCTGACCAGGATGAAGCCCGGGGTCGCCTCCCAGAGCCGGGGGCCCACCTGCAGGGCAGCTCCTCTTGTTGCACATCTGCTGGTCCACCACGTCCCCCGCACAGGCCTTCCCTCCGTGCTGGGGCTCCGGGCTGTTGCACACGCGCGTCCGCTCCCGGATGCCACCCGCGCAGGTGACGGTGCAGGCGGACCACGGGGACCAGGGGCTCCACCGGCCATCGACTGCGGGGAGAGAGCAGGCAGAGGGTCAGGCGGGTCGGGGGAGACCCGGGGACGCAGGAGACAGGGTGAGGCGGCCTCCGGTGCCGAGTCAGGGGTGTCGGAGGCCCACTCGGGTGGTTTGACCCTGAGGACGGAAATTCACAGCAGCTCTGTGGGCAGAGGCTGAGAGCTGGTGACGGGGCTGCGGGCCCTCGGCCACGTACATGGAGGCTGTGTGACGCTGAGGTTCATGTAAGCAGCCCCTGCCCACCACCCACACACGGTGCTCTGAGGGATAGGACCCAGGAATCAGGTTCCCAATCAGGTCCTAGCACTGGGACCCACTGTCCTCTGTCAGCGGGACCCATGGCTGGACGGGGGCGGGGGGACGGCCGTGCCCCACACTCCCCTCCGTCTGCTGCTCCCCGGTCTGGCCATTTGCCGCGTGGCTGTGGACTGACCGTGCAGCCTGGGCCCGTGTGCAGGGGGGCAGCCCACGATGGGCATCGACGCCCAGGGCCGCTTCCAGTGGGGACGGGCGCCTGCCCGGCCCTGGTCCCAGCGGCCCCCATGCCCACCCCCCGCCTCACTCACTAGGGCACGGGGCTCCCTGACAGCCCCTTGTCTCCCGGCCGCTGCCCTTGCAGGCCTTGCCCCCCATCTGGGGCACCGGCGAGTTGCAGAGACGTATCCGCGTGATGTTGCCGAGCCCACAGGTCACGGAGCAGGAGGACCACGGGGACCAGTGGCTCCAGCCGCCATCCTGCCGGACTAGCACACAAGGGACGCAGGCGTCAGCCACAGGCCCACAGGCGCTGGAGTTGGCTTGTCCCCCGGGCTGTGGGGGAGGGACGGGACCCAGCGGAGCCCGGAACAAGGCTGGGTGCCAGCCAGGAGGGCAGCTGTCCTCCCCCCACCCCCAGGGACGCCGCGGCACTCACTGCGGTTGTCACACTTTCCCAGGCTGCAGGCCCGCGTCTGGATAGACGGCCCCCGGCAGGTGTTGCTGGTGACGTCGCAGGAGCGCCCCCTCTGCTGGGTGCCGGGCCCGCAGGTGGCAGAGCATTGGGTCCACTCCGCCCACGGGGACCAGCCCTCCTCGCCGTCCGCTGCTGGGAGGGAAACTGGCGTCAGGCGTCCAGCAGTGACGCGCACAGGCCCACGGGACAGGGGTGTCAGCCTCCAGCAGGAGGGTGCCGGGCAGTGGGCGCTGAGCGGACGAGGAGCCTCTGTCCTCCGCGGGCTGACTCCGGGTGACCACGGAGAGCAGGTGCGCCCAGGAGACACTGGGGAGGCTGTCGAGGTGCAGGGGCCCAAGTGTGGGGACCTGAGGCCCGGCGGCCCTTCCTCTCAGCCCCATCTCAGCATCTTTCCTCAGCCCTGTCACTATCTTTCCTCCCAAGGGTGTTTGAAGGGGGACTCGTCATTCACTCAGAGCGAGCTGGTCACTGGGGACCGGCCAGGACAGGAGCCTCGTGCCTGAGGCCTTGCAGCCATCTGCTGGCCGTGGGCAGTGCGTGTGGGCAGTGGTGAGCGGCCCTGCACAGCCCAGCCTCACCCTGAGGGCCGGGGGCCGGGCAGGCGGAAGGGGCCAGGGCACCGGCCGCCGCACTCACGGTGGGAGCAGAACGGGCAGCAGTCACCCTCCAGCAGGGACGGGTTGGCGCAGGTCACCGGCGGGCAGGAGATTTGGTGGCAAACCGTCTTAAATTTCTGCAAGTACAGAAAGGTGCTCACGTAACGCTCCTGGAGGTGCACCCTCCGTACCGGGCGGATCGAGGGCCCCGGGCCACCACAGTGATCTCTACCCCCCGGCTGCGTCCCCGCAGCCTCCCCCAGTGCCGGACAACAGAGACCTTCCCGCTGTGGGCGGCAGACTGTGGGATGTCTGAGGCCACCATCAGTGGAGACCAGTGAATGACCGTGGGGGAGGGAAATGGGTCCCTGCAGGCTGGGGGTGGTGACGTGCCCCCCAGACATCTCTGCTGAGCCTCGCGGCCCTCGCAGAGCTGATCGGACCTAAGCGCAGGCTGGAGGCCCATCTGGAAGCTCCATCCCAGCTGCCTGTGGCCACCCGGTGACACAGGCCCAGTCACTTCACCTCCTGAGACCGGAGTCTTTACGTGTGACGCAGGGAGGCTGATCGAACCCTGTTAGCAGTCAGCTCTGCTCCTGGGTGCCCACTCTGCCTGCCTGCACCCCATGTCCAGGCTGTCCCCTCGCGCTGGGTGCACCTCGGCGGCAGCCCCCACCCCCAGAGCAGCCTGCTGAGGCCTCACCTGGCAGGTGCACTTGGTGCAGCTGTCCACCACCCAGGTCTCGTTCTCCGCGAAGAACCGGCCGTCCTGCCAGCAAGCAGACATGTTCCTCGTCTTCGGGGGGCCGCCGATGAGCTCCCAGAGGTACTGGTTGTCGTTCGACTGGAAGATCAAGCAGGGTTGGAGGACAGACAGGGGCAGGAGGCACTCGGGGTCACACTCCCGGGACGTCCCCTTGCTCACAGCCTGACTGCCCGGAGCAGGGAGCAGGTGGGGACAGGACTCAGCTGAGAGCGCAGCCCAGAGGGACAGGGCGTGCAAATCGCCGTGAAGGTGCCCAGGGATTCACACCCCACGGCCTCGCCGACCTCGCTTCTCCACGGCCGCTCCACTCGCTTGTGAACAACAGACTCCGCTCCTGCCCACCCCATGCTCCTGTGGAAAGTTCCGGAAGGTGCCCTCCATCCTGGTACTTCCCAGCCAGCCCCTGGCCTTGGCCCCAGCTGCCCTTGCGGTGCCCATGCCCTCGACCTCCCAGGGACCACCGTCCTGCAGCGAGAGCCGGGCTGTGGGTACAGACACGGGGGCCCGGCACGCACCACTTTCCGGAGGTTCTCGTGCAGCTGGTTGACGACCAGGCGCAGCCCCGACAGCTCGCTGGCCATACTGCCCAGCTCCTCACAGGAGCGCTCGCACACCCCCGGCCGCTGCTCCGCGCTCGGGCCCTCGTGCACCGTGGTGACCGCAGGGCCCAGGTGCAGCGTCTCCGTGTTCTCGCTGATGGCGTTGGCTTCCGCTGAGGGGACGCACGGAAAGCGGTCAGAGCCCCTCAGGTGCGGCCTGCGGGCCTCGGGGCGCCCACGGTGGGCTGCCGGCAGGGTCCCCGGGGTCCACCCACTCACCACCCACTGGTTCCGCGCGGACACCTCCCGGGGGGGGGAGGCAAAGCCCTGCACAGGCCACGAGACCCACAGGCCAGGGCGTTCAGACAAGCGACGCTGCTGGTGCCCACCACTCACTGAGCACACCTGACAACTCTGCGCCTCGGCCCTCATTTTCCCTCCGAAACGCCTATTCCTGTCTCCTTGCTCCGCACGAAGCAGACTTTGTCCTCCTCAATCTTCTCCTCCCTTGTCCCTGACACAGTCCCTCTGCTGGGTCCCCAGAGGGCAGGCCGCTCCCCCGGGTCCCCAGCCCTGAGCCCTCGCGGGCGCAATGCCACCAGCAGCCTGAGACAGGCAGGGGCAGCCCTGGTGGCACCGGGCGGGACTGGGCTGCATCCTGGCGGCCTCCATGCCCCTCCCCATCCCTTCTGCCACAGCGCTGTGCCTGCCCCTTGAACAGGCACCTTCAGATGCTGCTCAGCTTGTCTACCACCAGGAGGCGCTCCATTGGGCCCGCCCCTGGTCTCTGCGTCCTGAGCTCTCCAGAGCGTTTGCCGTTTTGCCTTCCCAGCACCCAAACCCATAAGGATGACGACCTGGCTCACAGCCTGGGATGCAGAGCGCGAGGCAGACACGGACTTGGGACTCGAAAGGGTGTCACGGGAGGCGTCAGAAATCCTCCTCCCCACACTGGCCGAAAACCAGTGTGTTAATTCTGTCCTGCTTTGTACTAGCCAGCAGCGGACAGACCGACAGACACATGGAAGGGCCGGGCCGAGTACCAACAGTCACACTGTGACCTGGGGGCAACCTAGACTCATCACATTCAGGGTGGACGGGAAGACGTGGTCTCAGTGGGAACATCGCGTGGCAGGTAAGAGCCTTCTCGCTGGAGACGCAGACCAGGTGGGCAGCCAGCCTGGCAGCTAACGGGTCCTCCCTGACCTCAGCTCCCTCACCTGCCAGCGGGGCCAGGTGCAGGGCCTGAGTCCCGGGTGCCCGGGAGACCGAGGGACATGACAGTCACCCCACAAATCAGTGCTCGGCAGTGTCAACCCAGCACCAACAGGTCGCCCGTTGGGTCCCAGTCAGGGCACAAGCCCAGGTTGTGGCCCGATCCCCACTGGGACCACGCAGGAGGCAGCCGGTCGATGTTCTCTCTCATCCATGTTTCTTTCTCTCTCCCTCTCCCTTCTTCTCCCTTTAAAATCAATAAAGTAAAAAGAAAAGAAATGCTAGCAGTCGTGGTTGGATGTGCATTCACAATGCAATCAGCAGAAGGCAGGGGTATCAGAATTTCTCCTGAGGCTGAACCCCAGCTGCCCACAGCCCAGGGACAAAGGTCTGGGGTGCAAGCTCACTGAGATGCTCCTCTCACACTGATAGACGAGGAGCTCTGCATATATTTAAAATCATGTTAAAATGCCGAGGTTTATCGTTTGGCTTGTAAATGAACTATTTTGGATTATTAAAATGTACTCAAAATTAATCCTTCCAGCAACATGTGATGTTCAGACAGTAACACATCTAAGTTGACCTGCTAACTCATTCACAGACATTGGTGCCGCTTTATGCAAGTACTTTTATTTAAATTCTCACAAGCCCACATTCGCACATGCACACACACGCATGCAAACATGCACACACACATATACACACACAGAACATAGCAGAAATCCATCCGAGACGGGATGCGGAGAAGGAAGTCACCATGCATGAGACACACCTACCTCCCTGTCTTTGCGGACAACCTTTCCTGCTGAGAATGTCCTCCACGGAGTCGGCAAACAGCAGGTACACGTTCTGCAGCAGCCCCTGTGAGCGCCCCCCGGGGAAGACAGCACCAGTGAGCAAACCCCAGCTGTGCGAAGCCCAGCGGATGACATGAAACCACAAAAGGTCACCGGGAAGAGAGGGGACACGTTTTCGGAGCCTCACACCCGGGAGGTCGTCTGCAAGGAGCCCCCTGCACCTGGGCCGGAAGAGGGCTGGTGCACGGGACACGTACAGAGGGATCCACACAAGAAGCAGCTGTGCGGCGAGGAGCTGAAGGAGGCCCCTGGATGGGTAACAGCAACTCCTGAGGGGACAGATGGACGTTCCAGGACACTCTGCCCTTCAGGGGTGAGCGTGGCTGTTGGTTTTGGTGAATGTCCGCAGGGCCAACCACAGACACAGCGACAAGACATAACCCTGGCGTCCATGCAGCCGTGTGAGCAAGAGTCACCGTGGCGCAGGGTGACCCATATCCAGCAGCACCCGAACCATCCACCAACCGTAACTATGACTGAAAACAGATCGTAACCCTAAGCAAACACAGCCAGAAACCAAACCCAAACATTACCTAACCCTGAGCCTAAACCAACCACGACCCATATATAAACCAACATCAACCATAACGCAATTCCAGCCTAGCCCTAACCGGATCTTAACCCTAATCTGCTTCGAACAATAACCATACAAAAATCCCAAACTCAACGACAACGCCCAACCCTACCTCACCCTAAACCTAAGCCTAAACCTAACGATACACTAATCCTAACCATACATTAAGCCTAAATCTAACCCTAACCTCTAATCACACAAACTCTAATCCTAATCCCAACCTAATGGTGCACTAACCCTAACCTGACTGAAACCAGAACGTAACCATGACCAATCACAACCACAAACCCCAAAAACAACCTAACCCTGAGCCTAAAGCAACCACAACCAAAATCAAACACCAGTATCAAACCAAACGCAACTGTAACCTAACCCTAAATTGATATTATGCCTAATCTGCCTAAAACACAAAAATCCCAAACTCAACCCCAACACTAAACCTACCTCACCCTAAACCTAATCACAACCCTAAATACACAATAACCCTAACCCTAAGGGTACACTAACCCTAACCTAACCCTAACCCCACCCTAACCCCACCTTAACCATACACTAACCCTAACCTGACCCTAACCCTAACCCTAACCCCACCCTAACCGTACACTAACCCTAACCTGACCCTGACCCTAATCCTAACCCCACCCTAATGATACACTAATCCTAACCTGACCCTAACCCTAACCCTAACCCCACCTTAACCATGCACTAACCCTAACCTGACCCTGACCCCACCCTAACCATACACTAACCCTAACCCCACCCTAACCGTACACTAACCCTGACCTGACCCTGACCCTAACCCTGGCCACCAGCAATCGACTCAGCAGTGAGCGAAGCATCTGCAGCCCTGCCACTCACAGGGTCAGGAAGAGAACAGGCACCGCCCTCCGCTATGGTTCTTAATCGCCTGTGGTTTCAAGGAGCCTCCTCCAGAAACGTCCCAGCGAGGTGCACCTGGGACTCCAGTAGACTTTCTCAGAAAAGCTCCCGTCAGCATCGTCGCATGACAGAGGGCCTTTGGCAATGGGTCAAGCACAATAAGGTCCATCTGGGTCACTGGGAACCTTGGACTGGGGCTGATCCCTTGATCCCAGATCAGTCGTCATGTGCACAGGTGGGAAGGTGAGTCGACCACACTCTTGCTTCTCCTTCCTGGCTCTGTGTGTGGGTGCACATGAGTCCCAGGGTAGATGTGTGTGCACACGCGTGTGTGTGCACGTATGCCAGGGCAAGCATGTATGTGTGTGTGCGCGTGCCTGGCCTGCTCCGAAACAGGCCTCGGACAGGAGCCGCCCCATGTGGTCACTCTCCTCGGAGTTCCCCGCACACCCGCGCCCCGACACCTACCCTGAAGTGACTCTCGCGAGCAGAGCCCTTGGCCACGTACATCTTGCTCCTCTCCGTGTGCAGCTGCCCGTAGAAGGGCTCGTCCATTATGAAGCTGTCGATCAGCTCGCAGCCCACGTACAGGCTGAAGGTCTCGCCGGCCACCTGCACGGTGACGTTCTTCCACTGGGCGTCGGCCAGGCCCACGTCCTCGAGGGACTGGATGTGCAGGGTGCCGTCCACCCAGTAGGCGAGGTCCAGCGTGTCGGCCGGGCCGTTGGAGACGATCTCAAACTGCCGGTGGGCGGCGCCAGGGCCCTCCAGGGCCAGCAGCGTGCCCCGGGTCTGGCGGTCCTGCCGCAGGCTGGCCGTGAGGAAGAAGCCCTCCCGCTGCTGCATGAGCCGCGCGATGCGGCCCAGGGCGTCCGCGCCCACCGGCGGGATGTAGTCGAAGCGCACGAAGCGGTAGGCAGGCGCGCTGGGGTCGGGCCCCCGGAACTGCTTGGCCCCGATGGTCTTCCGGTTGATGTTGCTGACGGTGAAGAGGTTGAAGGCGGTGTCGTCGTCCTGGTCACCAGCTACTCAGGGAGCAGAGCGGGGTTACAGCAGGCCAGCGATTCATGGGGCCCCTGACATCCAACTTCCGTCCCTCCCCTCTGGCTACGTGCTTCGTGGAAAACCTCTCCCCTCTCTCCCGGCCACAGCCCAGAGTGTGGTCCCTGAGACGGGCTGGTGCCCTCCAGTCAGGGAGCGTGGCCAGAAGGTCACCAACAAGGTCACTCCTCACTTGGTTTAGCTCGGCTGACACTTTCCCCAGCGAGACTTCTGAAGACGGAACCGGACGTAGTCCCCACCCGGACTCAGCCCCTCGCTCCTGCTCTTCACCCCAGAGCTGGGGGTTGGTGCAACGCCCTACCCCACCCATGGGTGCCCAGAACCATCCTGGAGAGGAATGTGCCCTCGCCTGCCCCCTGGGCATGTGCAGAGAGCCCCGCGGTACCGGCCACCTGCTCACTGAGACCACCCACAGTGACCTGGCCTCGCTGCTTTGGGGAAACCGCGGGCAGAGCTGACAGCGAGGGCTGGAGTCTGGGAAGAGACCTTATCAGACCTCCCAAACCACCGCAGTCTACATCATTCAGGGTCGTTTACTGAGCAAAGTTCCGCTTTGACGGAGCTGCGTGGCGCCAGACTCGAAACCCTTAAAAAAGTCGAAGCCAAGACCCATTCCGTGGTGTCATCTGTCCTAGTAACAGTGAACTCACCAGGGGGGAATTGGCCCAAAGTGTTTCGTTGACCATCTGGTGGACTCAATACAGGCATGAAAACTCATGCCGTGAAAGGATAAAGACACAGGAATATTTACCATATTTAAGGTGGAAAAAAGGTGGAATGAAGAGAAATGACAGAAAGATCAAATAAGTCGAGTGTTGTAAACGTAGCAACAGAGAAAGGGCTAAACCGTGCCCAGAAAGAAAGGTGTCTCGAGGTGAAAGTGTTTTCCTCTAATACCCGAATGTTCAAAAAAAACTCAGGTCCTTGGGTATGGACTCAAAACTAAACAAATGTTTAAAACGAAGTGAAAAGGGCTGAGAGGTCAGACACCCGGATGGCAGACGGTCATCACGGTGTGCAGCCCTCGCCCTGCAGGGGACCCGCACCCGGAGCCTGGTTCCCGGGGCCGCGCCCACTCACCGTGAGCCCCACACGAGGCCCAGAGGGCCGGCAGCACCAGCGTCCAGAGCATCCCGCCTCCCGGCCGCTGGAGCCCTGCGGGGAACAGAGCTGTCAGCCACGGCGCAGACAGCGCCCTCAGTGCAGACGGGAGGCCCTTCTCCTGGGCCGTGCGAAGGTGTGTGCGTGGAAGTCGGAGCCCGTGGGGTTGTGGGGATGAGAATCGAGAGAGACGGGCCCCTCAGAGGGCACGTCTCCAGCCACACGTCTTCCTGGCCGGGGCTTGCTGACGGTTCCGTGCTAATCCCCCTCACACGTTCATCTCATTTAACCTTCGTGAGGACCCGGAGGTCAGTGCCGCTGCCGTGACCTGTGGAAGGGGCCTGGGGGAGCTGTCCCTGCCCAGCTGCTGACGAGGAGCTGAGCCAGGGGGTTTGAATCCAGAAAAACATCAGCAGGGTGGACGTAATCCCTGAAGGCAGCGTGTGGAAATAGCCAAGAAAATAAAGTTATGCATAACTTAATTAGATGGAATACACACGAGCTGTGCCCGGAGCTGGGGATGGACTTGATTGGAGTCTCGTAATTACGGAAAACAAAACCTTGCCCTTGGAGGCAGCCCGCGTTCCGCTGGCCCCCCTCCCGAAGGCCTGTTTCCAGTCCCGGGATTGCAGTTGGCTCAGCAGAGGCCGGACCACAGTCAGGAGGCCTGGCGGGCAGCCCGCTCTCCACGTTAACCCCTGCTGGGCCGCCTGCGTCCTGGTCGGGGTCCCTCATCCCCATGAGCGGCGGGGCACCCAGGTCCACCCTGCTGTGCTGTCTGGGTCCTGAGCCAGAAAAACGAGGCCCAATTCCTTCCCCTGCAGGATATCGGAGTGCGTGCAGCGTCCCAGCGCTGAGGAACCTCAGCCCCCCCAGGAAGGTCTGGTGAACCTGCAAAACCCTCTCCTTTGTGGCAGACTCCCCAGAGGCAGGCGTGCCCCGCAGGGTCCTTGGTCCCTCTGGAGTCAAGATGCCCGCTTCACACCATCTGCCCCCGAGGAGCCCGGGAGCCCAGCTGTGTGCAGCCTGCCCCAGGGCAGCAGAGGGCCCAGGCAGCACAGACCCAACAGAAGCTGTGGCCCCTGCTGCACCCCTGGGGGCCCCCTGGGCTCTCTGTGGGGCCTCGTCTGCACAATGAAATCAGTGCTTTAAGATACCCACCTCCAGCCCTGGCCGGTTTGGCTCAGCGGTTAGAGCGTCGGCCTGCGGTCCGGAGAGGCCCGGGTTCGGTTCCCGCTAAGGGCACGTACCTCGTTTGCAGTTTGTCCCCGGCCCTGGTTGGTCGTGCGGGTGGCAGCCACTCGATGTGTCCCTTCACATCGATGTTTCTCTCTCTCTCTCTCTTCCTCTCTCTCCCTCCCACTCTATCTGTATAAAAAATGGAAAAATGTCCTCGGATGAGGATAAAGAAAAAAAAGATACCCACCTCCAGGGGTGAGGGTGAGGGGTGGGCTCACTCAGCGCCACGAACACACGGGCAGGGGTCACACATGGGCCGGGTCTCTGTCTGGGATGCTCTGGCCTGGGACCTCCCAGCACAGAGACATGACGATGGCAACAGGGACGAGAGCAGACACTGTCCACGCTCACTCAGGAAGCTCCGCATCAGTGGCAGTTTCCCTGACCACCCAGGGGTGCGCCTCTGTCCCCAACAGACAGCAGGTGAGGCCAGCCCTGGCAAAGGCAGCCTCCACCCAAATACACACTTTAAATTCCTGGGTGCCCAGCTCCCCGAGTCCAGGCTTAAACAGAGTTAATCAACCTCTGTTCTGACCACGTCCAACCCTGTGCTTCCTGAAACAGATGTCAGTGTCCACCCGGCCCCGTGCCGGGTGAGGGTGGGGTCTGGTCTCATCTCACAGGCTCACGACAGCGACAAGCTGAGCCTGGCCGCGGCGCTCATCCCGTCACATGGGGACAGGACGCCGCACGGCGCCGGGCTCCGCGCTGCCACACTCGCAGGGCGTTCACGGATCCGTGTTTGCCAAAGGCTTTCGGCCACAGCGTGTCATTAGAACACCCGAAGATCTTCTAAAATTATTTTTGTATCAGCCAGCAGAGCAAAAATAACTTTCTGAGAGGTCACCCTCCCCCTCATCCGATGCCCAGGTCAAAGGCTCTGCCCCTCAGGCTCCCTGAGACAGACCCAGCCCCCAGGTGCAGCCAGGCTGACCTTCCACATGCCGATCACCCCACACCTGCCTTCCAGGCCACCCTGGCCCCTTGCATAGACTCACTATGTGTTACTCATTAACTAACGTCCAAAACCACTCTTCAGCTAGAAATAGTGTCTGCAGTCAGAGGGTCTATAATCTCTGATTATTTTTCATGTTCTAAGGAATATCCCCCAATTCCCTCCTCATGATTCCCCCAGAATAACAGACTTTCTGGTGCAAACTTCTGATTCCGTAGCTAAAAGATAAGCATCTGCCCAGGTCCCCAGGTACGTGCACGAAGTCGCCAGGCAGGGCTGATGCAGGTGAGGCCGCCCCTCGGAAATCCGGGGTGCCTTCTCCGAAAATTAAACCACAATGAAATGATTTGGGAAAGTTAAAAAAAAAAAGTCTTACCCGGTGAAAGCAGAGGCTGCAGTGAGGACTGGTTCCGTGCTGGGACGGAATCGGGCGCTGGCGGGGGCTCGGGGTTCGGGCAGCCCTCTGCTGACGAGCGGGGGGCGCACTGGCCTCTGGGCCGCTGCCCCTGCTTTATATGCTCCTGTCTCCGCGCTCAATTCATTCCCTCGAAGGAATGACATAATTCCTCCTCCGCGCGGAGGACCACAGAGGAGGAGTCAGACGGGGGAGGCCTTCTCCTCTCAGGAAACAAGTGCTATAAATAAAGCAGCGGGAGGAAGCATGCAGCTCTCCGCGGCCGAGCGAGCGCGGCCTTTCTGCACAGGCGGGCCCCGCCGGCAGACGCCGCGGAGTGAGGGGTGCGGATCACTGGTCCAAAATGATGACGCTGTCACACAGACAAATTAATTCGTTGTGTGCAAACAGTGATACTTAGCCCAACAGCAAGTGGACACGTTTCCGTTCCTGCTGCTGAGTGACTAAGAAACAGGTTTGGGAGAACTTAATTTGCACCCAAATCCAGCTTCTTTGGCTCAGTCTGGCCTCTCCCGGTGGATGTCCAGACCCCGACAGGGCCATGTGGCCCACACTTTCCCAGGGGCACAAATAATCCCTAATCCCGCGCACGGGCTCAGCAGGCGGCCCAACCTGTGTGCAGAATAAATGTTGAAGTAAAGAGGGGCCGTAGCCGGACTCACTGCCATTGCTCAGGGCTCACAGCCTGGAGCAGGGCGGGCAGAGGGTGGGTCGGCTGTGCAGGGGGCTCCGGGCCTGGGCCTGGACACGTACAGCCGCAGACACGCGAGTTGCAATGGAAGACGTGTAAGCATGTGCGTGGGGTGAGCGCTGAGCCAGCCTGGGCCGTGGCGTGTCACGTGATGAGGACCTGGCACCCCTGCACCTGGTCCAGCTCGGGGCTCCTGCCTGGGTCAGGACGGGCCGGGGGGGCGGACCTTGTCCCGTTCATGGTTCTGAAGCCTCTTCCTCGTGGGAACGGCTTCCTACCGTCTCAAAGACACTATCAAATTCAATCAGAGAGAAAACTGCTCGAAGGACACAGGCCTTCCTCGTGCTCAGAGAGCTGCTGCTAAAGCCATCATCTGAGCAAAAACACCTGGACTCTGTCCCTAACGGACGTCTTCTTAAACTCCAAAGGCTGCATCACCCAGTCTCCCGAACAGCGCTCAGGGGTCACCGTCGGTGCACCGGTTCTCCTTCACCTGCTCACGGGCTGGCTGCGTCACCGGCTCTGCTCGTCCGGTGAACCTCAGACCTGAGCGCCTCTGTGAGACACGGGTCTGGCCCCCTCGCCTTCCAGGAACACCCCGGCAAGGAACACGGACACAGCGCCACCGCTGATTGGAGGCACGAGCCACAGGGAAGGTGCTGCCTGTTCAGAGGAGCCCCCGGCCATGAGGACCACCCGCTGGTTCAACAGCAGAGAGGTCTTCCTGTGTTTTCCAAAGGGGACGGCCAGGGAGGCTTCTCAAGGGGCAGAGTGAGCCAACCAGGTCATTCCACGTGGGGAGGGCGCCCTGGGTGGAGGGAGGTCCCAGGAAAGACACCAGGTGGGGACTGAGGGTGTGCCAGAGAAGAAGTTGGGCGCAGGCTCCAGGCTGGGTGCTGGCGCGAGGTCTGTAGGTGAGGGAGTTAGAGACTCGGGCAGGACAAGGTGCGTCCCCCCTGGAAGCCGGAGGAGGCAGCAGCCCTGTGACACGGCACCTTCTGTCTGTCCGTCCGTCCCCCACTCTGCGTCACCACAGCAGCCCTGGGACGTTCATGCAGACATACTGAAGGTTCTGGAAATTTCCATCATCGCGGCATTATTTTGGGGGGGTTGATGCAGTGCTGTGATCCCTGTCCAGTGACAGATTGCCCCTCTGACCATCAGAGACAAGCCTGCAGGGCAGGGGCTGCTGTCGGGGATGTGGCCAGGGGGGGTACCTGAGATTGTCCTGACGGGGGCGGTGGGGGCTCGCCGCCCAGCCCTGACCCTGAGCACTCCCATCAGTGACCCCTACACACCGGCGGGGACAGTGAGCAGACCCTGACTGTAGCAAGCCTGGGGCAGTTAACACAGAAAGTGAGGACCATGGACCAATCGGCGATCCAATCACCTAGACGCGAGGCACTGTCAGGGCCCAAGGTCGGCTTGCCGCCGTGGACACCAGCCTGGGCCCAGCCAGTCTTCCAGAATCTGAAAATCGAACACCCAAACTGGGTAGAAAATTGAGAGGTAGGAGGTAGGAGACCCGGGGCAGCCACAGCCCAGCCCTCACCTGGGAGCAGAAGACAGGCCACAACCATGGTGGACAGAGCAGGCCCAAGTGGAGACGCTGGAGGGCCCGGTGGGGTCGAGGGAGCCAGGTGAGGGCCAGGAGCTGGGCAGACATGGAGGGTCACTGACTGACCGCAACAGATGGACAACAAGGGCCGTCCTGGCTGAGGCTTTCGGGGGCATGTGGAGCTGTGGCGACCCTCTCCCCTAGTCCCTTCAGCCGCCTGATGCGTGACCCCTGCCGCATCCCACAGGTGTCCTCGGGCTGATGCTCCTGTCTGCGACCAGAAGACACTGGTTCCACAGAGTTAGGACACCGTGGTCTGGCCGTGAGCATCTGGCTCAGGGATCACGCGGTGTGGATGCTCACCAGGTGCCAAGGTGGAGGACATCCACACCAAGGAGAGGGGGCAGGGAGGAACAGGGCTTGAGACAGGACTCTGAACACACCAGGTCTACCCAGGGAGGTGGCGATGAAGCCAGCACCCCGGCCGGAGTGCCCATGAGCAGCAGGACAGCCGCGGACGGGCAGGTCAGCCTGGACAGTTCTCTGAGGCCGAAGGTCAGGGATCGCTCTCTTCTTGTGGGAGGACGGATGGGGTTCCAGCAGTTCATCACCCCAGAACAGAAGGAAACATCTTCACCAGGGCCCAAGTATCACCTCAGTAGGGTGCCCTTTGCAGAAGGCAGGTGATGGGTGTGGACTCGGGTGTGGATGGGCAGCCCTCCCACAGGAGAGGTCCCCGCAGTCACAGGCCACACCGGGCACATGCTCAGCTCCAGGCTGGTGCAAGAGGGGGGCGGGTAGGACGCAGAGGGGACTCGGAGGCCATGGCAGAGGCTTCAAAGCCACCAGGAGAGGGGCTCCGTGACACTGGGGTGCAGTGGGAGCCTGGGGCGGAAGAAGATGGGCTGAGAGTCCTGCTCACGCCCAGCGGCCCCCCAGTCCCGAGAAACACTTGTGAACCGGCCGATGGCCACGGACCACGGTCAGAGACGTGGCCAGGTTCAGGCAGCCCACGTAGGCTGGACTAGCGTGATGCTGGAAGGGCTCCGTCAGGCTCCGCAGGACAGCGTCTGGTCGGGCTGGGTGTGACAGAGGCCACGCTGACACCTCCGTGTAACAAAGGAGCAAACTAATTCATGAGTCGCCACTGTGCTCTTTCCACACAAAAGTTCGAGTGGCCAAGTCTGGACAGCATCGAAGGAAGACGGGGGGCCAGGAGCTTGCCCGGTGGGGAGGCCCAGGCCACGAGGACGGGTCCTGACTCCCTGGGGACCATGGGGCCTGGGGTGAGGGCCAGGAACCTTCGGGCAGCCGTGCGGGGCCCAGAGGAGCCGGGGGCGCAGGCAGCCTCGGGCCTGTGGCGCGGGGGCCAGCTGTGCCATCCCGGCTCCGGCATCTGTTTCCGCTTAGCGCCCTGGCCGTGAGTGAGCAGGGGCTCCCACCCCTGCTCTGGGCGGCGGGTTTCGGGAACTGGTGCTTTCATAACTGAAAACAGGGCGACAGCAGCCTGTGGTTCCTGCTCGCAGAGGCTGGAGGAGGGATCCGGGGAAAAGCTCCCGAGGACGGAGGCCAGGCCGATGAGGTCATGGTCACGGCCATTCCTGCTGTGAGCTCACACAAAGGCTGGGCTGGGCCGGGGAGGGGGGCGGCCGCCCACGGGGCACACAGGAGAAGGCGGACGCGGGGACACCCTCCTGGGAGAGGCGATGAAAGGGATGGGATGGACCCGAGCTGGGCACAGTCTCCTGTGAAATGGGCACAGTCGCAGCCCTGCTCTGGGGCCAGGCCCAGGTGTGCACACACGGCGTCAAGACCCTGCCCCGAAGGGTCCTCTGACCCCCAGCGAGCGCAGCACGGGTGGCCTGCAAGCCCCTGGGACTTCTCTCTCTGCCTGCAAGGCCCCAGGCAGCCCACCGCAGGCTTAGCCCTCACCCATCTGCCTGCTGCTCCATCCCGGCGTGGCCCCGGCAGGTCCAGGCTGTGGGGAACCCTCCCCAGGACAGCAGGCTCCAGGAACTGCTGCTGTCCTGCTCAGACCCGAGCTGGCCTGGCCATCCTGCCCAGGCTAGACTGCAGCAAGACCGAGCGGACAAGAGTGTCTTCTCCCGGAGCTGTGGCCCTCCCACACAGAGGGCGTGGCGAGGCCCGTGTGGGGCGAACACTTGGTAGACGCCAGGGGCCACCACTGTGGGGCCCCGTCTGCTTCCCTGTCCCCCCTGTAGCCATTTTCCCAAATGCCTGGAGGTCCCTGCATGAGGACAGCATGGGATGGCCCTGCACACTCCCAGTGACCCCGCCATCCTGAGGATAAAACCAGTGTCCTCCCATGGAGGGTGGGAACCGGGTTCGTGGGGACAGCTGCCTGCTGGTGGGTCACCCGCAGAGAACGGGAAGGTGAACTCAGGCCCAAGTGTGTTCGTGTGGACCAAGGGACCCAAGAAATTCTGGGCCGGGCACCCTGCTGGCCACTGAGCTGCCGTTGCAACAAAACCCACGAGGGCTGACATCAGACACATCACCGAGGCCAGGGGTTAAAGGGTTCGGTGGCCTTGTCACTGAGTGCACAGCAGTCCTGCGTCCAGGGAGCCTCGGCCCCCAGCCCAGCCAACAGGGATGCACAGGTTCCTGGGACTGAGGAGCTGGTCAGGGCGCCTGGGCCCTGGGAGGCAGGAGACTCAGAGAAGGGCCTGGGCTAGCACAGAGGCAAAGCTCAGGAGAAAACCTGGGGGATGTTGCACTCACAAGAGAGGGAAGTGGGATTCTCGTAC